GCATTGTTCAGTCTTTTCTCCTTCTTTTTATTTGAGGGTTGTGTTACAGAATGCAAAGGCCAGGACCAGAATGGTCAGTAAGTAGTCAGAGTGCCTTGTGGGTGGGGTATTCTGACAGTGATGGATCACCTGGACTTTGAATATAAGTCCAAAACAGCGCAAATTCAACAGGGGGTCTCAAGAATTCTGAATTATTGATATGCCTCCCACACCCAGGTTAGCAACTGGCTAAGATTACTCACAAGGGGATGCTGAGCCAATGTGCGATATGCATTCCTGTAACATCACCCCTCCTACTGTCACTTAGAATTGAAGCCACCACCACTCTCTCCTAATAAAACAAATGAGAAAAAAAGAAATGGTCCTTTGCATTGATACTTTTTTATGTAGTAGTGTGGAAACACAGAACGCAACAGTTGCTTTCTTGTCAGTTGAAGGACAAGTTTAGAGAGAAAGAAAGAAAGAAAAGAAAGAGTGATTTTAAAGGGTTTTAAAGGAAAGTGCAAATACCTTATTTTAATTTGAATTCTTTTTATTTTTGTTTATATATTTTATTTGTTTTTTTTAATTGGGACTCACTATAAGATCGATAAACAAAAAGTTCAATAGAATGTCTGGGTACTGTAATTCAATAAACAAAAAGTTCAATAAAAGTTCAGGGTAAATCCATATTGAATATAAGATTCATCATACTGTCTTTTTTTACACTCATGATGGGCTCCAAATTCTGTAAATAAAAAACAGGAAAAGTAAAAGATCTCCTCCCTCCCACGGTTTAGAACCTCTGCACTAGGCTATTGTTCTGTGGACTAAACCATAGGTTTGTAAATTTGGTGGCATAATGACATCAATCTCTAGGCAGAGTAGTACAGACCCAGTGGAGTAAATAGTAACTAAGCGGTACTAAATAATAGCTTCATGATCACAATTTATGGGGAACTGAGTCCAATCTCTCTTAAGCTCAAACAAAAGCAATTACAGTTTGCTGGTCACTGACCCAGAGTGGACAAAGTGCCTCATCCTTATTTCTATGGTGTTGGAGTTACCTCCTCCTTCACTCCTTAAACTAAGAGAACAGGTCATTTCGACCTTGACCTCTCGGTTGTGCTCCCTATACACTGTTAACCCGTGGGAGAGACTAGCAAGTTTCCTTTTTAGTTAAGTTATATTACAAACCTAGTTGTAATATACTGCTAGACATTTTTAGGCCATAGTTCCCTTTAGCTAACCTCGACGTATTTTATTATAGAGACTTTACTGTTAGCTTATCCAATTCACTTGCTGGTCTCCCTTACCACAAGACAGTGGCTTCTCACTATTTTCTCATCTTAGAATTTTTGTACATATGTGTTAGGATCATTAAATTATTATGACACGGGGCGCGTTTTGTAGGTCTCCCTAAAGTGGATGTGGTATTATGGTGCATGGAGGATTGATTGGCGACGGACGAGTTCTTATGGTGAATGAGTAAATTTTAATGTCTGAATGAGTCGTGAATCAAATTAGCTAGGTATAAGATAGTTAGTGAAGACCAGCCTTTTACCCCCTCCCCCTTTTCGGCCTTGTGCCACAATTTTGTATTTTTACAAAATAAATCCCAGTCGGTGACAAGCTTTTTTCAGGAGCGAGACGAGCCATCACCTTATGGGACCATGTCAGTGAGCTGATGGCTCGTCTCGCTCCCGAAAAGCTTGTGCCCATTGATCGCTCACTGGCGTGTGACAATGTGTCGCCCCCGATATTCCGGGGTGAAACGGATGGTGTTTCTCACGCTGCTAGCCACAGCCCGAATGGTGATATGGACAACGCAAGAGGAGGAAGTCTTGCGGGGTATCCGTCTTTCTCATCCGGATCTGATCAGATTTTTTGAGCATCAGCTCAAGATGAAGATTAGAACTGATAGAAAATGCTTGCATTCGACAGTCTTCAGCGAAAGGTGGGTGACTGAGGCGAGCTTGGTTCATATGAACGGGGCTAGCCTTGATTTTCTCTTTTAGGTCAAGCCTACATTACATCGGGGTGGCTTCCTGTGGTGCCCTCCCCTTGGTTAGGTTAGACAAGCTTTTGTGTACCTAGTTAATGCGAGTAAGTGTTGTTCCTGGCCTGCCCCCCGGCCACATCTTTAGTTATGATCCAGACTGAGATTCCCAACCTCCCCAGTTTGTTTTCTGGCCCCCCACTTTTCTATCTCGACTGGGTCAGCTTTATACTTCCCCATGCCCGTATGATTTTTTATCACCTTTCCCACTCCCTTAGCGAGAGAGCTGCTTGATTTTGTTCCAATGGGCAGAATACAGTGGTCTCCCTGCCTTTTGAGGGTTGGACGGGCCCTACTAACATCAGTTAACGTTTAATTTCATTTATGTTAATATTTTAGTTCGTTATTGGGTTCATCTCCCCCCACTCATTTTTTCATCTTAGAATTTTGTACATATGTGTTAGGATCATTAAATTACTATGACACGGGACGCGTTTTGTAGGTCTCCCTAGAGTGGATGTGGTATTATGGTGTATGGAGGATTGATTGGTGACGGACGAGTTCTTATGGTGAATGAGTAAATTGTAATGTCTGAATGGGTCGTGAATCAAATTAGCTAGGTATAAGATAGTTAGTGAAGACCAGCCTTTTACCCCCTCCCCCTTTTCGGCCTTGTGCCACAATTTTGTATTTTTACAAAATAAATCTCGGTCGGCGACTGAAACGGTCGGATACGCAGGCCGCTGGCCTTCGCGGCCAGGAACGTCGATCAACGGGCTGCGTATTAAGTTATGCTCCCATTTTTTTGGTCTGCCAACTTGACGATAGTTGGAAACTTTCCTTTCTCTCTCTCCTTCGCCTAATACTCCTGGCTCCTTGGCCCCGTTCAACTCTCGGCATTCCGTCCCTACTGGCTGCCCGCACATTGTCCTTAACCTTTCCCGTACACTATGTTAGTAATTATTACGGGAGGTTACTAATATTGGACTCAACCGGCAAACACGCAACGCCTGCACTGGACCTGTGGCCCGAACAACGCCAGCTCTTCTTTCCTTCCCAACACGTCAAGTTGGCATCCCAGCCAGGACCAACATCAACTTCAACAACCAACAGCGATCATCCTGCCAACAACCAACATCAACTTTAACTACAGCGATCATCTCTGCAGCAATCACCTGTAACAACCTACTGCAACAATCAACAGCGATGATCCTGGCAACAACCAACATCAACTGCAACAATCAACAGTGATGATCCTGGCAACAACCCACATCAGCTTCAACTCCAACAACCAACAGCGATGACCCTGGCAACGACCAACACCAACCTTGACCATCAATGCCTGCACTAGAACTTCTGCACCTCCACCGTTCCGACCACCTTATTTTCTTTTCTAGAATAAATTAGCATATATCATATATATCCTTGTTCTGTCATCCATGTTGTTTCACCGTCAGATTTAACATCTTCAAAAATGTTAGTGGGCCTCTTGTGCCCTCATTCACCCTTGTGTGATATGGGGGCGCTCGGGTTCCGCTACAATGGCATCCTTCTGGAGGTGTCTTCTCACAAAAGTTGACTTTTGCAGACACCATGACTCAGGACTTAGGGTTGGACATTAGGGATCTGGGTATGGCAATGCAGGACCAAGCAGTGTGGAAAGGGATTGTTAATGGAGTTCTGACCAACTACAGGTAGGTGGAAGGATGATGATGATGATGAAATAGCAAGACAAGAGATCCCAGGATATGAACAGAGATTAAAGAGAACAATCTATCCCCATAGATTAAATAAAGGGATCAATTCAAAATCCCTGAAGGTTACCCAGATCAACAGACACCTGAAGGCACAAAAGCTGAAATGTTGTGATAATAACAACAAAAATGAAGACACCAGTCTGTAAATAATGATATCTCCTCATCCAGAAAGAAAATAATTATATCTCTTCATCCAGAAAGAAATGATTAAAAAAAATCCATATGTACTCTGTCATGTAGTAATTTAAAAATTACAGCTCACGAAACCAGAAAAAATTCTTCAATTTTATTTACCACAGTATAATGATGCACATATGGAGAAGACCCACTCAATATGTGACCCCAAGTCAAATTATTACAAGATGAATCATTACTGCAAATATCAAGGCGTGCCCTTGATCTTATTCTTTTTATTAGCAATAGTGAGGTACAGTCGTGAAATGGATCCCCAGTCATTAAGCAGCAGTTGTTTTCCAATGTTGTGTATATTGTCATTTTTATTTATTTTTACAAATTAGATATTATTACATTAATTAAGTAAAAAAGTTAGAATCTGGAACAGTAAAAAATTAAATTATTTATTAAGTTTAAAAAACAAACTTAACTGTTTAAAAATTTAAAACAATTTATTAATTTAAGTTTATTTGTTTGTTGTTTCGTGGCGCAAATACAACCAATCCAATTACCATTCTAAATATTACACTTAGATTTAAAAATTAAGTGTAATTTTAAATAATTATTTATTTTTCTTACCTTTTTTCATATTTTAGGGACGTGTTTTTCTCCAACATCGTTTTTTAAAAGTTTCGGCACAATATGCAGAATGTACTTCAATTTTAGTTTTCTATTAATTAATGCTTGTCAAATTATCCGAGTTCATATTATTTTACTCAATATTTCTTGTTGCAATGCATGTTGTTTTCATTTCAACATTATTACTATTTCTTATCTTTTCATTTCATTTTTTTTATTGTACTTCTCTTTTTTTTCCTTTTTTTTTTTTTATATAAGCGTATTGCTGCCATGGGAGACGGCAATCAGGCTATAAATCAAATCTCGTCTTTACGACAACGACTTTAAAAATTTAAAACGTAAATTTTACAGTGAATTTTTTTTCGTTTTAAGAAGCATGCCTGAAAACGAAATACTTTATTAAAAAAATCAGAAACGAAAAAATAAAAAATTAAGCTATTTTATTTCGGGACGAATATTTTTGTTCTCGTTCCGGAAGTTGGTTGTATGTTTAAGCAAATGGCCGATTGAAGATGAATCCTCTAACGTAAGTTTCTTTATAAAAAAAAACAAAAACAAGAAAAATGTAAAAGAAAAAAATATTTTCTTCTCGCTTTCTTTATTTTGATTATTATATTGCAGTAATATTTCAATCGTGATGATAGCGAATTTTAATGCCTTTACACCTGTTTTCTTTGTAAAATGTTTCATGCCTCTTGTACTGAGGTGACAATATCTCAACGCGACGCTTTTTTTTTTTAAATAACACATGGCTAAATTATACTCGCCTTTATTTTTATTAAAAGCAAATACACATGGCTAATATTTTGTGTTAATTTTGGATTTATATGCATGTTTCCAAGAGTTTAACATGTTTAAATTAATTAAAAAATAGCTTCGGGCCTTTTTAATTTAAAAAAAAAAGAAGTAAATATTTTTAAAAATGACTCTTAGCATTCATTTAAAAAATTGGTTTAAAAACGTAAAAGACAAAGTGAATGTTTTTTTGCCATTAGAAGTTAGGACTTTTTTTAAAAATATATTGTAAAATTAACAAGACGGCACATTGAAAAAAAATAAGACTGTCATTTTTTTTTATGAAATCTTTTTAAATTGGATATTTTTATGAGGAAAATTTAAAAAAATATGTAATAATTTGAAGATAAAAGCTTAATTTTAAAATAATTGGATGCGGCCAATGCCAAAAATTAATTCACTTTATTTCTTTAAATATTTAAAATATTTATTTTCATAAATAAAATTGTTGACGCATTTTGTATTGCAATTTCGTTAAACTTTTAGCAGCAAGAAGCTTACCTTCTTTAATTTTCTTTTACTGTCAATTTTTTTTTTTTTTTTTTAAAATAAATCAAATTTGCAATTATTTAATTTTGGAATTTAAGTTCTAATTTTAAGTCCATAAATATAAAATTTGAAAAAAAAAAAAAAAAAAAATTATTAGCTATTGGACATAAAATGGGGGATCAATTTACATTTTAAATAATAGTAAATATGATCCCTCATTTGATGTCTACCTAAACATAACAAAGTATGAATTTATTTCTTTTGCGTAAAAAAAATGTCCTTATCCTTTACAATCTTTTTTTTTTTTCTTTCTTTTACTCCGTCATTATATAGATTGCCAAAAATTTTAAATCCTTTAATGAAACCAACAAAAAAAAATCAAATTTGTTTATCATTCGTTTCCTCACAAAATAAATAAAATAATTATTGTTGAAATTTGAAGTCACTTTTTTTTTTACCCTTGAATCTCGGTGCCATGATCTTAAAAGCGCAACAATTTAAATTTAATCTTTAAATAAAATTTAGTCATTTTTTTAAGACATGATTTACAATATAAAATATAGGAGTTTTGTACTTTAGGGGACATAAAATGAGTGATCAATCTATTACTTGATATAAAAGTAAAATTGATCCCCCATTTTTAATCACAAAGCTTGTATAAAAAAATAATCTAAATTTCTGTAACTTAACTAAAATTTATTTTATAAATCGTAAAAATAAATTTAATGTCTTTAAAAGAAATTGAATATTTATTTTTTTAAAGACAACATTAAACAATTGAATTCTTAAATTTAATTGGTTTTTATTACTTTTTTTAAAGGATTTGGAAATAAACTTGTTGAGGGTACACATTTGAAAAAATGTTTTTAAGGAAATATTTAATTGTTTTTTAATTGGAAATTGTCTTTTATTGTTTGATTTTTAAGACTTACATTTAGAAAAAACAAACTTTTAAAGGCTCGACAAGTTCAAATATTTTAAAATAAAAATAATCGCTTTTTTTTATTATGGTTGAATTTTTAAATTTATTAAATATTTTTCTAAAAACTTCATTAACAAACATTTTTCCTTCTCTCATTTGAATCTTGGAAACATTTTTTTGTTTTTTCAAGTTTTTGCATTGCGTTAATTAATAATAATTTGTTTAATTAAAAATCAAAATAAATGTCATTTTGATTTAAGACATTTGTGGATTTTTTTCCTTTTTAATCAAATAAAATATCCCGATTTTTTATTAATACAATCCAAATTTAATTTGACCATAAAAACTCGACAACTGTCTCAAATAAAAAATTCATTGAGTTTGAAAGGAAATTTTTCATTCTGAAAAACTTTTTTAATAGAAATTAATTTAAAACTTTTTATCATTTTTTTTTTTTTTTTTTATAAAATTTACTATTCAACGGTTTTTGTGTTTTAAATTAAGATATTTCTTTTCTTTTTTTATTAAAATAGCTTACTAAAATATTTTCGTTAATTGCTTATATTTCTTATAAATGTCTAAAAAGTCGAAAAAATTATGCTAAAATTTCCGGGTATTGTTAATTTGGGCGTTTCAAACGAATTTTGCTTACCAAATACCGATTCGTACATAAATATTTTGAAGTAGGCTCATATTCTGAACCCTCCTTTGGTTACATTTGAAATAAAAGGAAGAATAACTTTTAAAATGCAATGATTTTTTTTCTTTTTAAAATTTATTACTGTCAGGAAAAAAAAATAGTAGCAATGACAATGCATTTCGAATGCATGCCTTCCAAAAAATTCAAAAGAGGGCTGAGAAGTCTACTCAAAAAAAAAAAAAAAAAAAAAAATTACGTGGTACATAAGGGAGATAAATCAGTGTTATACAAAATTAGTTTGAAACGCTCAACTTAACAATTTACATTTTAATGTAAACCTATTTATTTTGGTTCGAATCTCATGGATTTTAATAATTTTTCTTTTCTCATCAGCAAATAAAATTGTTTTGTAAAATTTAAGATCTTAATTTAAACATTTTAATTTTTGAGGTTTTTTTGTTTTTTTAAATAAGCTAGAATTTTTAATAGCCATCATAATTTTCTAAAATGTCTTTTATTATAATTCTTACTAAATTGGATTGATAATAAAGACAAAAACAAACTGGCTACAATTTGCTTTTGTTTTTCTCTCTAATTACATTTAAATGGCTAATCATTACCTGTAGTTTTCATTTTGAACACAAGTTATATTATAAGGCTGTCTTAGCAAACAAAAACCAAAAAAAAATAACTGATTGACATAGAGCAAGGTGAAAGTTTTGATAAGGAACTTATCAAATTAACAGGTATGACAATTATCCACCAAGCCTCATTAAGTTTTCTGAACTGTAATACTTTTAGGGATTCTAAAAGACAATCCTTTTAATGATTTTTCCTCATCACCTCTACTGAAAAGGAATCACTTCATAAGAAGAATTTTTTTCCCACTAAATTATGACAAATGATGACCATATCGACATAACAACATGAATGATTTCTCTGAGCTTAAAATATTTACAGACTGAATCAAAACAAAAAAAGGATGATTATGAAAGACAAACATTTTGATTATTTTTCTTTTATTGGAGTGCTCACCTTCTTTCCTTGATACTAGTTTTAGTAGTTCACCAAGTTCTTGTGTGTGTGTATAATATATATATATATATATATATATATATATAAAGTAATAGCAAGAGCATTTCAGCTAACACTTTTGTTATCGTTTCTAAACGATCCAATATTGGATTTTCATTCATTTATGCATAATTTTACTATAAACTTGTGTTTTTGTTTGTTTTTTTTTTCATGTAATTTATACCCTCATATTTTAGGGTTCATTTATTGCTTATTTTAGAGGCAAATGACTTAAGAGTTAAAACCATTTTTATATGAAAATCCATTATGTTGGTCTGATTAAAAAGAGAAAAAAAATTTCCCACATTGGATTTCCAGGTGTCAAACTTGGCAGATTTGAGCTTTAAATCATTATTCAAGGATAAATAAATCCTGATTTAAATATTTGATAATATATTAGACATTTGTGTCTGCTATTGTGCCAAAAAGTTGTGATTACATAATATTTTTTCATTTTTAGGAACCCCAGAAACTAATTGGGGTGTCTTGAGTCTTTTCTTTTTATTTATAATGTATTCCTGAAGTAGGTTGCATGTACAAAGTTTCAAAGGTTGAAAATGTTTCAATCTTGAGATATTAGAGGTTAAATATAGCTCTAAATGTAGCAAAATCATTGAATTTAACTCTACCCACTCTTCTGAATGACCATAAAATCAGAACTATACACATTTAGGAGTTGAAATTTACTGGATTGATTAACTATAAGGACGACTAGGAAACAAAATGTTTGGCAATTTGAAAGACACCACCTTTCAAGCTTGGTTCCCTTTTCATTGGAATGCCCCAGTTGCAAGAAATAAGGTTGAATTAAAATATACATTAATTGCTTATAATTACTTTGTCTACATTTTGTTTACAAAACTAAAGTTAGCAGATCTTGACTTCAAAAGGTCTCAACAAGAGATATGTGCATTTCTTAAAAAGGGTAAATGAACTATGCTTTGTCATGAGGACTTCTTGTAGCCTAATTAGTAAGGCACACTTAGCTCAAAAGTAATTTTACTGATGGAAAAGTTTAATTCCTGTCCAGAGACACATTTTCTTTAGTAAGACTTCTCAATCTCCAGGCTGGTTGACATTAATTTTCACTATTTTAAGATATAGGAATGTCTGCTCAAATACATATACACATTAAATATAATGTTTATCATAATAAGAAATGTCTATAAACTTGGAGTTGGAAGAGGTATATCTATAGACATTATTGATTATAATATCTACATTTCATTGGCAGGTATACTTGTGAATAGATTTTTCCTTGTCCAATGATGCTAATATACTGCTATTTAATTTATTGCTTCACCAATATACCTGCTGATAAAACAATAGACATTGAAAGTATTTTTATTTCAAACTGCTGGGATTTGTATTCAACTGGAAAATCTTTCAAGCTGTGATCTATTGTATGAGTATGAAACTCTCTCTCTCATTAATTGTAAGTAAAGTATAGCCAATTAGATTACTTGATGTCCTCAGGATATACAGGTGGTGTAATAGCAGCTCTGAATGAGAAATCTAAGAACAGTGTTTGAATTCTGGTCAAGTTCATTACATTTACTTACATGCAAAAATACCCTTGGAAAAGGTATAAATCCATCCCCCCACCTAGCTATGGACTAAATAGTAAGACTTGTATCTGGAAAAATTGTTATTCTCAAAAAAATGTTAATGCAATATTTGTTCATAAAAAAAGTAATCAATGTCCCCAAAATAATCTACAATCAATATTGGAAAAACTCTAAAATGATGTGCCAATTTGTATTATTTATTTTTTTTTTTTGTGTGTGTGTATACTGGGGTTTAACAACAAAAGAGAATGGCAAAAGACATTTAAAGGGTTTTGATTTGGCTATATATATATATATATATATATATATATATATATATATATATGTGTGTGTGTGTGTGGCTAGCAAAAATGGTGGTAATTTCAAACCTGTTCATATAGAAATCACTATGATTAATGCTTTCAAAACTCTCTCCCAGATGATACTGGGTAACCTTGCTTGTAAACTCAGTGTCATTTCCTTTTTCTTACAGAAACGTGAAGAATACCCAAAAACTCAATCAACGGGAACTTGAGTTGGGTCTAATAGGCAAAAAGTCCTGGCATGACCAATACAAGGATAGTGCCTGGATTTTTGTTGGTGGCTTGCCTTATGACCTAACAGAAGGAGACATCATTTGTGTATTTTCACAGTAAGTGTTTGTTGTCTCTGGTTTTGTTCATTTTCTTTCTTCCTCTCTTAACGTCCGTGAAATTATTTATATCTGTGGAGGTTTTCTCTTTTTCATTTTTTTTTTTTTTTTTTTTTTTCTTTTCTTTTGGGCTATTGCCACTCCATCCACCATCACCCTATAAAAAAAAATAATAATAATAATTACTGACCATCTGCACCAGAAACTGAGAAATCTATTTGCATTCTCTTTAATTTCTCTTGTTTTCTCCTTTTGTTGCATGTATCAGAAAAGCTAGTTCAACTAGGTGCATTGATTTGCTTTTTTTAACACTATGAGTCAAGAATGACTTACCTCTCACTTTTTAGGGAATTATTTATTTCAATATAATCTGCATGAATGTAAGCATATATTTAAGTTTAATATTTATGTATTCCTGATTGACTAAGTCTGGCGAGTGAAGCAAAGATTCCCAGTTAATTTTTTATTTTGAGGCAATAGCCAAAAAAAAAAATAAAAAAGAGAAAAAAGAAATTTAGAAAACCTTTCCCTGCATATAAATTCTACTGTTCTTTGTGAACCACGTTTGGAAGCGAACGTTTGTATGCTCGTGAAAAATTCTCAGGGTTCGTATTATTCTCTAGATTCTTCTTTATTGTATTATTTTGAAGTCGACGTCACCACAAAAATTTGGCTCTGAAGAAAGCAAAGCAAGCGACTTGGTGCTGATTAATTTCCCACTGTGTCATTTCAAGGATCTTTATTCATCAAAAAGGCATCTTCAAATCTTATTTCAAAATTAGGATCAAACCAAATCCAGAAGCTTATCACTCGATTGCCTGGAATATCACTTGAACCTTGGATCAGTTCATCCAGCCCAGCAAAGGATTTTGATCAGCTACATTGATGCATTAAGGATCTAGCCAGATTTTGATCACCTTTTCAAGAAAGAATTCAACTATTTGCAACTCTTTTTCATCATCACTTGATAAAAATAACCAACATCAGGATCAATATTTACATCACATCTACACAAAGGATTTTTGACCAAAGCATCGGGATCAACCACTTTCAAAAATCGATAATTTGTGCTCATCTTGACTCCAGAATTAGGACCAAGGCATCAGAAAACTTCAGCTACATAAAGGATACATTAATATGTTGGATTTAATTAAGAAATCTTAGATTGACAACTCTGGAATGATCACTTTTGGGAATTCATTTTGATCAACATTTTTACAATTCTCTTCAAAGTTTTAGACCAATCATCATCCAGCTCTAATCAAAGATTGGATTTACACTGGATTAGAAAACGAAGGCAAATTTTACTCAACTTTTAGTTTAAGCAAGGATCACAGCAGCAATCTTCCCAAAAGCACAGCATTCATCGATATATTTTTTTTATTTTTATTTTTTTTTTTTTTTTTTTTTAGCACAACACACAACGGTGCACAACCAAAGATCAACATCTTTTTGATTTGAAAGAGATCAGGACAGAAGGTCAACAAAATCTCAATCAAGTTTATCAACTGAATTTTGGAAATGAATCACAGCTGCTCTATTTAAAACTTAAAATCATCAGAGATAGTGTCATCAGACATGACAACTTTTTGGTGTTTCGTCGTTTCCCAGCCGTTTGGGTGCAGGTGTCCTCCATGGTGCACAACTAAACCTTTTGAGCCAGGCTAATGCACTGGACATGAAGTCTTTTGAACAGTTTTATTATGACCATTCCACTTGTGTGATGGAGAAGTTGGCTTCTAAACCACTTTGGTAAGTCTTTTAGAGTTGATTTGTTTTTCTCCTTTTTAATTTGATACTTTAAAAATATTTGCTTCTTGCCTGCATTTTATTGTAATTTTCTCTATCAATAAAAATCTAATGGTAGTTTTATTTTTTTTCCTTATGTTTTTTTTATATAAATCTTAATTCAGAAACTAGGCTGTTTGGTAAGCCTTCAAGTACATCTGTCTTTTCATAAAGGTAAGCTTTTAATTTTAATGACATAGGCTTTGGAGACAAAACCAATACCTGAAAATCAAATCAAATAATGTAAGCATTTTAATTTTTATTTATTTATTGAAGGAAAAAGGGAGAGGAAAAGACTTTGAAAAGTCCCAAGTCCATAGTAGATTTAACTTTGATTGGCAGATGAGAAACACTTTGTCAATTGAGAGGAAGAAAATGGAAAATTACCAGTGTGTGTGTGAAATCTCCAGTAACCCCTGAGTATAAATGTGATCATAGTTGCTTGCTCAATGCATCACATGAAACAAACACTTCAAAGTCTAAATTTAGTTGCTATTCTAAATACCTTGTATTTTATGTTTACATCTGGCCTTTCATAGTTCCAAACTTTTTTTCCCTATCAATATCCTCTAAATTGAAAATATGCTGTAAATAATAGCAATATCATCATCTTCTATGTGCTGTGTCCCTTCAGAATATTGACAACCATCACTCTCCACAATTTCCTATCCTTTGTCGCTCTTAATAAATTTGTCTTTATGTGATCTCTCCTAAACCTATTCAGCCATCCATTTACTCAAGGTTGCTAGGAAACAATGCATATCCTATGCATCATCTTCCTCATAATTTCTGCTATCTCTTTCTGGTGTTAAGTATAAGTGTCTTTTTTGTTTTTATTTTCTCTAAAACTTCATTGTTGATCACATGTACAGTCCATGATATTCTCAGCATCCTTCTGTAGAACTACATTTCTGTTGCCTCAAGTCTTTTCATCTGTGAAAAAAATTGTCCAGCACTCACTGATATAGTGGTATCTTTTGTAACTCTTAATTTTGTCTTTTTGTCATCTCTCCCCCAAACCCTGCTCTACCATCCATTTGCTCAAGCTTGACAGGTAGTTTGTGCATTGCTTTCCTCTGGTCTTACCTTCAATCTGTCCTGTGACTATTAAATTTTCAAAGCTCTATTTCTTCATTATGTACCTCAGAAATTTTAACTGTTCTTCCTGGTGTTAAGTATAAATATCTTTTTTGTTGCCATTGTCTATAGAACTTCGTCACTCACATGTTTAGTCCATTGTATTCTTAGCATCCTTCTGTAGAACCATATTTCAGATGCATCAAGTCTCTTCTTTATCTGTGAGGAGATTGTCCAGTTTTCACTGCCATATGGAAGGACTGATATTACATGACAGTTCAGTACTCTTTTTCTTTTGTTTCTAACAATTTTTCTGTTTCTTAATACTTTGCTTAGCTTTTGGAAGGCATCTTTCACTATCCCAATACATCTTGAGATTTCGGTGTCACACTTTCCTTCCTCTATTAAAACATTTTCCAGATATTTAAATTGTTTTACTTGTTTGATTTTTGTATCTCTAATTTGTAATTTGCATATTGGGCTGTTCCTTTTGCTAACAACCATGCATTCTGTCTTTTTGCAATTGAGGTTTAGTTCTTTGTTCTCACTCTCTTTCGGCATCTTCTTCTAGAAGTTCTTGTAGTCTCCTTTCTGTGTCTGCTATCATCACTATGTCATCTGCATATCTTATGTTAAGATTGTGGCTGCCAATAATGAACCATAATAGGAGTTGTAATTCTCTTAGAATTGTTTATTATATAGGTTATATCCGTGTCTTACACCCCCTTTCTATTTTTTTTGGATATATTTACTGAATTCATTTTCAATCTATACACAGGCAGTTTGATGCCAGTATAGGTTCTTCATTATTCTAATACCCTTCTTCCTAAATATTTCATGGCTCCTTAGCAGTTTCAACATTTTTTTGTGACACAATTTATCAAATAGCAACATACATGTTTAAAATGGGGAAATTCTTTTCAGAAATTTTTGTTTTTTAAATGATCTGCCAAAATATTGAAAAGGTGCCATAAAATAAATAAATTCTAATATGTATTTGGTCAGATTTAGGGAAATGAGAACTCTTCAAAAGATTGGTGCAACACATTTCCTTCCTCCCTCCCTTTTAGCCTTGTGTCAGATTGCATGGAGAGAGAGAGAGGGTGAAATGCAGCCTACACAGTTCTTATTTAAATTAAGATTAAATATATTGTTTTTGGAGTGTGGTATCAGCTTTAATTCTGAACAAATCCAGTTCAATCCTTTGCTTTGCTGTGAAATAGTGGGGTGCAATGGAGAGCGGTTTGGAATGAGAAATTGGAGTCAAGTTCATTACATTCACTTACATACAGATACCCTTGGGAACGGTAGGAGTTCATCTCTTTTCTCTCACCCAGCTATGAGTTCAATAGTAGGACATTTACTTGGAAAAATCATTATTCTCAAAAAGTTAATGCAATATTCATTTGTGTAATAAAAAAAAAATACAATCCAAAGTGTGTTTCAGCTTGAAATAACTGACAAAGGACTTATAAGCGTTTTTTTTTTTTTTTTTTTTTTTTTTAAAGAAAAATCTATCAATAACTGAAGGAGAAAAAGGAAACCTCAAGACTTTTCTATTTGTTTTACTTTTAAATTTGTCCCAGTTAAATCTTGTATTATGTAAGAGCTTTACTTTTTTTTCTTTGTGTGTGTGAGAGTGTAGAAAGTTAACCTATGTATGCTGTCAAATGAAATAAAATGTGTATTTGGTCATTAGTTGTGACATAAAAGGAACCAAAGACATGGTCTGTACAAAAGTCAAGTGACGCTAATAGTTTCCTCTTCAGCAAGTGTTCTTTACATGCTGACAACTCTTAAAATGAAGGAGACCTTTATTAAAGTTCTAATTCTCACTGATCTTTTTGGTCCCAATAACTTCTAGCTTCTGTACCTTTTTTTTCCACGTTTGGTTTGAAGCACTTTCTGGTGATTCTGTCTAACTATTCAGAACCTGTTGTCATCATTGAAGATTCTTCAAAAGTTACAACTCAGCCTGCTTTTTGGCAGTCATTTTTAATCTAAGGCAAAATGATTTTTTTTGTGTAAATAACATATGCAACAAAAATCTTGTTCAAATTCAATTCTTTTTGCTTCATTATTTTGTCTATATGTTTGTAATCTTTCCTCCATTTCTATGGTGGTAGAATTTTTAT